ATAAGAAACATATATTCCTCTTTGTTTAAAAATGATATATTATCTTCACGTTTATTTTTCAATAAATCAGATAATGCGTTGTAAAATTTTTGACGCATTTCATTTGAATTCATTTTTTTAATAAAACAATTCAACACTTCGAAACGAAAAACTATACGAAACTATAAACTATATTATACCAGTGGCGTGGCGTGGGTATTAAAAAAAGGGAAGCAGTAAATTTTTTTTTTCAAAAGTGATTAGAATATAGGTACTATACCTATATACCTAATTATAAATTATGTATAAAAAAAATGTAATAAAGAGAAAATAAAGAAATTGAAGTATAAATACTTCAAAAGTCTATTAGGCGAATGACAGTGACAGTGTACGTAAAAACGACTACAGTCTACAACGCGTCGGGCTACGTACGGTACGGGTCGCTCCTATTGTTTCTCGCGTAAGCAAAATCAAATGTGCTTACAAACGCTAGTTAAATACGTGACCCCCCACTATGGCATTATAGACTATTCGAAAACAACAGTTGCCCGTAAGCAATTTCAGAATGTGTTACACTGTATATCGTATTATGATTATGCAGTTAACATAATACAGAATGGATTAAAAATAGACCTACAATCGATGATTTTCTTAAAATAGTTGGTAATCAGTAGACAGCGTACGACACAAATAAACAATAACAAAAACCACTACCAGCTATAACTTAAATATTTTATAAATAAATTTAAAATTTTAAAAATCATTTATTATGTACCTATTAGATTGATCAAATTTATTTTTTCTTTCATTTAAAGTGTAAGCAGTGCTTACAGTGCTTACATGCACGCTACGCCCCTGTATTATACGAAAGTACAACGTAGACTGTAACAATACTTATGTTATAGGTTAGTTGCCGTGAGTATTAATACTATAAAAGATACCTATTAGATATCTATTCGTTATAAAACAGATACCTAATCTTCACGTGGGTTTTTAAAGTTAAAACGATAAAAGATAACATTGACTACAAGAAGATAGGATATGTTATAATAACTAGTGAATCTATCAAATTATGACATCGTCTGATTTATCAAGTCAATGTTACAAATATATGTTGATTATAGATAATGAGTAATGACCAAGTTACCAAGGCATTATATTAATTGGCTGGTCAATATCATCATTACCTGAATTTACGACATTGACGGTAACATATACATGTAGGTAGCACATGTTATAATAGTGAAGGTCTAAACTAGAAATTATATAGAGTGATTATTTTAACCAGGGCTTGGAACCGGAAATATATTTTCGGATTTCGATTTCGGTTTCGGCTATCGGTATTTATTTTTTCTGATTTCGTTTTTGGTTTTGATTACCGGAATTGGTTTTTTTCGGTTTCGGTATCGATTCCGGTTCTTAACGGTTTTAACCGGTATTCAAAATCGATATTAAATATCGGTTTCAAACCCTGAATTTTTAAAAGTAAATATTCATTACCTATATCCTCAAAAGAATTAACCCATTTTAAAAAATGAATTTTACACAATTTTAAATCATTACAAAACAATAGTTAGGTAGGTTGGTAGGCATATATTATATTGTTTACTATTTTAGTTTTTGAAGGATGCGCGATGAATGGATTAGTTTTACAATGATAACTGATAATTGTTTTTTATATTTTATTTGTTATGCTCATTTATATCTTATACCCACACTTTAATACTATAGGCATAAGTAGGTATATCGTATATAAATATACAAAAAAATACTTTGATCTTCAACTTTGGGAAATACTTCTAGTAGGAAATTGGATCTAATTAGTACTTTTTCTAGGGGGAGGAGTCAAAATAAATAATGTCTAATATACTCACTTAGATTTTGAAAATAACTAGTTTTTGTTTTTTTTTTGTTGTACCTATAGGTACTGGTATAATAGCTACTGATAATGAAAAAAGGTGGGCAAGTGTATACCACACCACTCTGCTATAAGCCTATACATTTATAGTTGGCATGTCAGTCACCCTTATACATTTCTAACTGAAAAATAAATTACAAATGATCGTGATTTTGATGAGTTTTATCAATATTTTAACTTCAGACGCTCATAAAAAATGATTGTGGATTTACTTTACACTCAACTTTTTTTTTTAATTCCACTAACAACAACTTACAGAAACCTTGTATTCAATTTTCATGATTTTTGATCAAACTAATTATCGACAATAATTGAAGAAAAAAAAACTAAAAAAAGTCTTACGACTATAAATAGCGCAATAAATCTCAAAATATTGTATACATTATTAATTAGGTATTATATATGTATGGAAAACGGTCAAATTAATATTTAGTGAAAATTTAAAGTGTTTATGGTAATTAGTTTTTGAGTTAAACCATTTAAACCATAAAACTAAAAAATTCTCATTCTTCATTAATTTTTGTTCCTCCCGGATGCTTTTGAAAACTACTTGGAATTTCTACTTTTAACATTCATCCCTAAAGTACCAACTAGATTCACATTTATAACTAAAAAAGGTGGGCTGAAGTAGTAAATTGGAGCATTTTTACGGCTCCAAAAGTTGATGACGGGTAGAAAAAAAAAAGATAAAACACATAATTTTAAAACCAATAAATTCGTTCGTTTTCTTCACTCATAATCTAAAATATCAAAAATATATGTTAATATTATATTTTGAAAAGCATTTAAAGAACAACATTTTCCGAAATTCATAAAATTTACGAAAAATTGTAAATTATTATGTAGTTCAAAATTCATAAAATTCTAATTATGTCTAGAAAATGATCACATAGGTACCACCTAAATATTTGGTGAACACTTATCTATTCATTTTTGAATTATAAGTACAACAGAAAAGAAAATACATTACGTCAAAAACTGGTTTTTCGTAAAAATTCCAGTTTTTTCAAAAAAATTATTCTCTAAATCATTTACAGTAGGTACCTACCTATAACCTATAATAGGGAGTTTTAGTTTGTACCTCTTATCTCCACAGGATATTCCTTAAGTAGTACAAAAAAATCTCAACAATTTGAATATAATATGGTGTTTAAGTAAATATAAAAATCCATAAAATTAGATTTTAAATAATTTCATATGTAGTTAAAGAAAAAAAGGAGATGAGTATGCTTCTTCTACTTACATGCTCTATAGGACTGTATATATATTTTTTTTTCATATTCTAGTAATTTTTGCAATAGATTTCAAGAGTAGTATTTGTTACATATACAATAATATCAAACATATTATATCTAATGTAATCTTAGGTGCCTATTTTCTGGTCTTCTGGAATTACGTAAATGTTGTAGGTATCAATAAACATTTTTTTTTCATCTGTGAAATAGGAAATCCAAATTTGAAGCTACTGTTTTGGATAATTGTTATCTGAATTCATATTAATGAATATTACAATTACAAAACATTTTACTCCAAACCATGTTAGTAAATATCTCAGCAACTAGGTAGGTAGGCGTGTACCTATATTATTATTACCTATGCTCATAAAATTATTCCATAAGACTTTCTCTTTCTAATACCTACCTAGTAATATCAATGAATTTAAAGATTTATGGGTATATTAATTAGTACCTACTACCTACTTATATTTAATTTGTAAGAAATAACAAATAAAAATGCATGTGTAATATCTTTCAAGACTCATAATTTACAATTATGATATGTTTGGTTTGTAAATAGAACTTAATGATTAAGAACAGAGCACATATTGTAATTGATTGTATAAATCCAATGAATTAAAATGATTAAAATATTTCAATGGTTTCTTTTTTTTTATTTAAAACTGAATACAATTTTATAGGATTGAAATTGCAGTATGGCTTCATATAATCATATATCAAAAAATAATGTAAATAGAAGCCATTAGCAATACATAATTTTAAAGAAAATACACACTAGACCTCCTCTGTATGCATGCATAAAGAATCAAAAACTTGTCTATTATTTATAAGTATAAAATGTTAATATTTAGCCATTTAGGTATGTTATTATCATTAAAATTTAAACATGACAATTTTTGTGGCAGATTTCTACTCAAGTAAAATTATAGCAATATTAATATAAGTCATTTAAGTTATTAATACCAGAAATTATTTTATATTAGCACACTTCTGTAAGACTGTAAGAACTTGTAATGTATTTTTGAATTTAAATAAACTAAAAGAAATAAATTAATATTTAACAAAATAAGTCATTTGTACAACTGTGCAAGTTTAGAAGTGATGATATTAAATAGAGGCACTCAAAAATCTCAATGCTCAAAAATACTATATTTTTTGTAAGTAACTAAAATGCCCATGTTTTTTTAATTGACTAGGTTACTATTAATGTTTTTAAAACATAAATTTGTTATTTATTAACTTATGATATTATACTATAAAATATAAGTAGTTCTTAACTACCAACTTGAATAGTGTTCCGACAGAAGAACGCAACATTAGGTATAAAGGATATAGAATCAACAAATTTAAAATATAGTACAAGGATTTTTTTAAATTATTATCTTTAAGCTTAACAACGAGATTCTTATAGATAGATAACAGTTATGTATAATAGGATTAATAAAAATGACAATAAAACAATGATATTATTTATGATCAAGGTGTAGGTATTTATCATAAAAATAAATACATCTTGGATATGATAATTAAACTATACATCAATCATTATTGTGATCATAACGACTGAAAACATAGTAAACATGCTTACATGCATCAATAAAACTAAACAGTAAACATAATTATTTTATGAAAGCAGCTGACCTCCTTGACATTCTTCTAAATGTGCATGAATTAAACAAAGCATTAAACAAATAAAAATATTTTATTTTATTTAAAACTGTTTTACAATTTATATTTTTTTTATTAATATTTCGAACACGGTTTAAAAATAAATTTGTATTGTACTTAATCCAAAATCATATTAAGTAACTTTACTTGTAAAAAAAATATATAACTGATTATTTTTTAATTAAAACACTTATAATTTATTTTATAGTCTTTGCATTTTCTTGTGCTACAATTGAATTATAAAATATTTTATATTTATTAAGAACCTCATCAGCAACCTGTAATTTATTATGTTTTAAATTTACAATCACACATTCTATGATATCTATAGGTATCGTGTTACCAAATATTTGTACAGTATCACCACTACTCATTTCTTGTTCAAAAAGTTCTAATATTAAATCTGCACAGTTAATCAATTCTCCATAATTTAAGTATAATTGTAATAGTTCACCAACATTTCTTTCTTTGAATGTTTTGACAATCCAACTGGGTAAAAATGATTTATGTCTAAGTAGCTCATCAGCTACATGATAATGTATCAATGTTCTTCCCTTTTCTTCATACCTAACTACCAAGGTTTCCAAAAAATGCCAAGCTATTTTCCCACTATCAACGCCATCACCACTGACTCCATTGTCTGCTAACCAAATCCACGCTTTATCACATTCTTCAGAATCTGTGAGAGACAAACATGTTTTTACTAACTCTCTTAATGGCTGATAAAGTGATAAATTCCACATTTTAGACAAGCGCATCACATCTTTATACTTATGTTTCATTAACAAAACAGATGTCACGCTTTGTACGTCCATATTGGTTGTAGATTCTTCAATTTCCTGACGAGCTCGAGCTAACCAACATAATTTTTTAAGATGGTCAATTTCTATTAATCCACTGTGAACATCATCAGTCTCTGAGAGAAAAGGTAATGAAACTGTTACAAACCAAGCATCATTAGGACTTAAAAGTTCTAAGTATAAGAGTGATAGTCTTAAATATTGTTCTTGGGCTACACATGTGTCAGCTCGTAAATATAATTCATAAAATGTCATGGATAGTTTTTTGTACTTTGCATATTTATCATGAATTGAACATAAAAACATGTAAAAGGGATCCGCATCTACATTTGACAGAGATCGTGCTTTTTTTAGTACTATGTCTTCTACTGAACTTTGTAAACCATAAAAATTAAAACTCAAGAGTTTTTCTTTTTCATCATTTTCTAATAATGTTAAGACAAAAGTATGCAAACAATTCAATTTTCGATCTTGATCCTCTAAACATAAAATATTATTGTATGCACTTTTGTATTCTTTCAATTTTAAATTATTAAGAAAAATGTTAGAATGGAACATTGATATCATGTTTTTATCCCCAGAATGTTTACATATTCTTATACATAATTTCCCAAGTCTTACTGCATGATCATAGTAATTATATTTTTCAAAAAGAGTGATAGCTTTAAGAAAATTGTCTGTATTTTTTTTAATATCACTTTTAAGTATCTTAAGTGCTTTATCTGGATCATTATTTAACATATATGAAATAATTAATGTTTCTTCCCATTTATTATAATCTAATAATTGCGCCATTTGTTGTATGAAACTGTATTGTTTCTCTTGTAATAAGAATTCTACAAGAATAGAAGCGTCAATAAGTGGCCAAGTGTAATTTAACAGCCCATCAATATAATCCATAAATGGTTCCTTGGCTAACAATGCATTAGAAGAGATCATTTTTTCACATAACTTTATATCATGTGAAAATAAAGCCTGGATCCAATAGCTATAAGCAAGATTACTAGCATCAACAACATACTCTTTAGTTTGTCCATAACTCTTAGAATTCAACTCCATAAATGTAAATAATCTACAACATAGGTCAAAACGTGTCACTACTATTTGATGGAAGCTGTGAGAAACAACACTGGTGCCTAATCTTACTCTGAAAACTCCTTGAATGTTGTGTATCTTGCATATCCTCATCTGTGTCTGGATCAGCATGCAGCATCTGAATTAATATACGAGCAGTATCTAGAACATTACATCCATTTAAAAATAATGATATTATTGGATCATTACTGTTAAACATATAAGACTTTCTAACCAATTCCAAAAAGCTATTTTGGGACATATTTATGTCTAAAACAATTAAATTATTGTTGGTTCTAACATAAACACAGTGAGTAAATTATTGAATTATTTTCATTATCAGGATTTTTAATGAAAAGTATCTTATTTTCGACTTTATCTGATGGCCGTTAAAAAGCAAAAACTTGAGTTTGTTACAACAACTAGTAAAAACGATGGTGAGCCTAACCAAATAAGTCCAAGAGGAGCTAATCTTTTACGTCGGTAATCTAAACAGCTTTTATAAAAACTAGCACTGCACTGTTCAATAAGTTGCATTTGTGACTCAATATCTGAAGAGTCATATTTATCCATTTCCTGAGCAACTTTTGTATCAATTGCATTACTTATCTTGGTATGGTAATCAGTCACAAATTCAATCCCATCAGATGTATCATAAACAGCAATAGCATTTTTCAAATCATCATTCGTAAAATAAGTAGAAGATGAAAATATTTTATCTAACAAGTTGTTTTGAGGTTAGACGAATATGGGGTAGGTGTTCAAAGCCTTAGTATCCAAAGAGCAGTTTTTCCATTCACCATTCCTGATATTCACAGATTTAACACAAGCAGTGTCTTTTCCAGTTCTCCATATGCACCAAATTTCATTACCATACAATGACATATCAACTAGTCTACTTTTAACGGGTGAACGTACATAAAACTTTTGTTGAAGTTTAAACATACCATGGTCAGTACATGGTTCAAGAACCACAAATGTTGAACTTTCTGATAAACTAAGGTAAATAGTAAGTAAAAGTTGATCATCGAAACATTTGTGAATAATATGTGGTCTTGAACCGTTCTCTGTTGAAGCGGCATACATTTTTTTCATATCCATTATATTAATATAAACTGATTTATCAATTGACCAAACTTTTAATTCACATGTATCATCAAGAGAGTATACATATATATCTTGTTGAAATGGGTGTACAGCTAAACTGTTAATAACTGGGTTCTCAATATGTGTAGAAAAAACTTTGGTTATATTTGAAAGCATTCGAGGTACAGCAGATTCTTGACAAATTTCTTTTAATGTGGGTAGTCCAGAAATATACTCCATTCGTATATAAAGCATGACATTGTTTTGTAGAGCTATTATAAATATAGCATCATGTTTTTGATCTAAACAAGAAGCAGCTGAATATGGATGACTAAGTTCTGCATTATAGGAATAAAATGTTGCTGGATCATCAATAGATGGTATATTAAAATTTGAAAAGATCGAAGAATCTAATAATACATTATCGTTTTCATTATCATTTTCCAGACGATTTGGTCTTGGAAATGTCAATCGGTGACAACTACATGCTGTTGGCACTAATAAAACAACAGATTCCGATGTCTCATATACAGAAATTCCACTTTCCAATACAGGTGAATCACGAAAATGTAGACGTACCTGTTTTCTGTTAGATTCATATCTAAGCTATGTTCAACTAATTCGAGTTTATCATACAAAACACGCCAAAATATAAAACGGTTAGGAATATCTTTGAAACAGTGTCCACCTGATCGAGGTAGTGTACTTTCATCACGCAATGTAGTTGAAGCACCTTCAGGATTAATCAATATTTCCCTCCATTCATTTGATTGAAAATGTTCCGTAACTACTTGTCTGTAGATGGTATCCATGTATGGATTATCAATATCCATATTATCTAAACAAAATAATAGGTACAAGTAATATTAGTTGGAAAATAAAAACTAAAATGTCGTAAATAGTAATTACATAGGTACTAAGATTAATTAATATTTATCATCATATTTTTAGGAAAAAAAATCAAAGAAAAATAGTAGCAATTAGTAGGTAAATAGTTGATGTTACATACAAATAAAATATTATTTTCATTTTTGGAGGTATCCTAAGAAATTCTCCTTATTGTTTTCTAAAAATTAAAAATTCTGGTAAAATAATTATCAAAGGATACACATGCGTGGTCTGTCATACGCATACAAATGCAGAACATAGAAATTGTACTCTCTAAGGGTAATCCATTTACTCTAACTGTTTAATATTAGAGTGAATTGACCTAATATCAAATTTAAAAGTAAGAATATTTTCATCTAGTGAATCTCATGGTTTTTTTTTGATTTGTAGTTTTTTTAAGAGTTGTGAACATTTTTAATTTTTTCAATTGTTTGTACATTTTAAAATACAAACTTATACACGTTACAACTTTTATATGTAAAATTTTAAGTATTTTAATATCATCAATCACACATTTCTAATTAGCCAAATAAACTTCAAAGTAAATTAACATACCTAATGTCTGTAATAAAAACCTATTTTAAATCACTTTCCAAATATTTAATAGGTAAGTATTTGCTACTTCTTAATAATACACAGAGAAATATAAATTTATTTATGTAATGTCTTTATTATTTTATTCAGTCATGTTACATTAATTACATTGTATTTACTTAACATATTTTATGTAAAAACTAACAATTAAATTACTTTTAAAATATTGTATCCATATGTAAATATTATTGTTAAGTAGTATTTTGATTATTGTATTTAGGAAAAAAAATTGTGTTGTTTAGGTATTGCACTTAGTGAGGTTATAAATAAATAAAGAATTGTATTAAATAGTTTCATATAAAAATAATAAGCTGTCCTTTAAACCTATATATGAAAGAGGTTTGGATTTCATTTATGGTCTTAAATTATTTAAAAAAAATTTGTTAATTAATTATTATAACTTGAATACTAAAACTAATTACTATGAAAATATATATGCCCGAAATAATAATAATTGAGTCTAAAGATAATATATCTTATTTGAACACAAACCCTAACATTGAAAGTTATATCAATTTATCAATCTATCAATAATATTTCCTCAATCTTTAGTATAATGATCAATCATATTGTAATGATTTTAAATTATTGACATTATTAACAAATATCGAGTAATGAAATAAGGACAAATGTTACGAAAGAACAACTTAATGAGTATCACAGCAACAAGATTCGAACAGAAAATATACATTTATAGATATAGATCAGAATCATTGAAAACTACTTTAACCCTAAATCCTAGTTTAATAAACGAGTACCTAGTTGAAAAGAACTATAATATTATAAGCAACTTACCTACCGTTTTTATGACACGTTAAGAATTACTTTAACAGAATGACAGAATACAAAATTTAAGACTTACGTCTTGAGAGTTGAGAGCGCGTTTGGTCGGTCGTGGCTGCTTTGATAGTTCACCACTTAAACAACCAACTACCAAGTCGTTACTCGTTACTAGTCGTTACTATTATATATTTATACAACTCGTTAGTCGTTAATAATTTGTTTGTTTACAACAACTTGCGGTAACCACAATGTATTCACAACTCCCGACTCCCTAGGAAGGAGCATGAAGATAAGAGATATCCCTTATCTTCATGGTAAATAGGTACCGTGGTCTTGGAATATCTTCCGTGATAAATACACGAAACAAATACTTTAGACCACGGTTAAACCGTGCTTTAGACACAGATTTCTATATATTACTAGACAGCGAACTCCGGTCATGAATTGAAGCTTCAAGGTCGGTTGGCAATTGTATGGTATTTCATATGACAAATAAGATGATATTATGATTTATTTTATATCGTATTTTATTATTTTTAAACATTTAGTTTACAAAAAAAAAAAAAATATTTTATATAAGTCATTTTACATTTACTATTTTATTTGACCGTTAAAAAAAATATTATTCCTAAATATACATTTTGTATAATAAATGAAATGTTTTGCCAACCGAGAAAATGGCGGCCGTTCACAGCTGAGCTTCACTTGTAACAATGTAAATTGTATAAGAGTTCCTTATCTAGTGTAGTATAGAAGTCTGTGACTTTAGATGGTACTATCTATTATATTTTGCTAATATCCACAGATATAAAATACTAGATAGCTAACTTGCTAAATTACTAATTTAGGGTAATCGATGTTGAAGTTAGCCACCATCATAGACCTATAAAAGAATGGACCGCGCATATCACATCCCACTATCAGAGTAGTGTATTTTATCCACAGATATATACAATAATATTGTTATTGTATATATCTGTGATTTTATCACAGAACAATTATTGAATCAAAGATATGAGCGAGAGAGACAGACATATGTTAGAATTTCCAAAGACATTTCAACCAAAATATTTTATCGCCCTTGAATATATTTTTTTCAATGATAACGACAACCAGCGAATGATAAGATTTTGAAATCATTCCCCGCGTTATAAAATTTTGTTTATTTGGTTAAGAGGACGCCACACGGGCAAACGAAACCATGCAATGACCAAGAGAATGCGCTATTAGGTGTTTTCGTGATCCGCAAGCACGCGACGTTAAAGCCGCGCCCACTACTCACAGCCGCGTAACGACCGACGAGTTGTTGAGTTCGAGAGCATTGCTTATTAATTATTATCTTATGAACGTTCGTCCGTGGCATATCCCGTCGACATAAAATTCATACACGTAAATACATTGCCGCCATATTCGCTTTTATACAGTTATACCTACACTAACCATCTTTTAATTAAAGCCGCTGTCAGCCCAATTGTATACCTATTTGTATATAACAATATTATGTTGGCTAGAAAATCTAGTTTTTACCGTACAAATTGTTGTACAAACATTTTATTTTATTAAGCTCATTAAAGAATGATAATGCAGAGGGCACCTGCAGGTTATCAATATTCAAGTCTGTCCAAAAAATTCTACTAGAGTCAAATTCCTAAAAAAAAATTGAAGGGGAGTGTTGGCGCCCGCAGGCAAATGCATTTTAGAAAACCAAAAAAAAATTTAGAAAAAATTATACAATCAGAACACATATCAATGAGTTCAAACTACAATCTTCAGATTCATAT